ATGAGTGTGATATGATGAGTGTGATATTATGAATGTGATATTATGAATGTGATATTATGAGTGTGCTATGATAAGTGTGATATGATGAGTGTGATATGATGAGTGTGATATAATGAGTGTGATATAATGAGTATGATATTATGATTGTGATATGATGAGTGTGATATGATGAGTGTGATATGATGAGTGTGATATGATGAGTGTGATATGATGAGTGTGATATTATGAATGTGATATTATGAGTGTGCTATGATGAGTGTGATATTATGAGAATGATATTATGATGAGTGTGATATGAAGAGTGTGATATAATGAGTGTGATATGATGAGTGTGATATGATGAATGTGATATGATGAGTGTGATATGATGAGTGTGATATGATGAGTGTGATATGATGAGTGTGATATGATGAGTGTGATATGATGAGTGTGATATGATGAGTGTGATATGATGAGTGTGATATGATGAGTGTGATATGAGTATAGATGGCAGTAGTGGTAGCTGTTATTTATGGTGCATCTAATATAATATTATCATAGTAGCAGTAAATTCGATAGTATACCTAGATGACAATTAAGGATCTTATTCAGTCGTAAGGATATTGTCATTGCTTCAGTTGCTGTAATCACCGTATGCGGCAGTCTAGCTATAGGGCCCTACATCGTGACCATGTTTTCGTGGCCTTAACCAGTGCAGAACATTGCGAATACCAAATGTCTTGTAGTGTGGTGCAATATTGAGTTCAGGTGGATTTAGATGGCGTTAGGATGGTAGTCGAACGCAGGCGATGCCTCTCTATAGCCAACGTTCTGTTTTACACACACGAGCGCGCGCTCTCCCTCCACTCTCTCTCTCTCTCTCTCTCTCTCTCTCTCTCTCTCTCTCTCTCTCTCTCTCTCTCTCTCTCTCTCNAAGAGTGTGATATTATGAGTATGATATTATGATGAGTGTGATATGATGAGTGTGATATGAAGAGTGTGATATGAAGAGTGTGATATGATGAGTGTGATATGATGAGTGTGATATGATGAGTGTGATATGAGAGTGTGTGATATGATGAGTGAATATCACACTCTTCATATCAGAAGAGTGTGATATTATGAGTATGATATTATGTCATATCACACTCATCATATCACACTCATCATATCACACTCATAATATCACACTCATCATATCACACTCATTATATCACACTCTTCATATCACACTCATCATATCACACTCATAATATCACACTCTTCATATCACAATCATCATATCACACTCATCATATCACACTCAATGAGTGTGATATGAGTATAGATGGCAGTAGTGGTAGCTGTTATTTATGGTGCATCTAATATAATATTATCATAGTAGCAGTAAATTCGATAGTATACCTAGATGACAATTAAGGATCTTATTCAGTCGTAAGGATATTGTCATTGCTTCAGTTGCTGTAATCACCGTATGAGGCAGTCTATTTATACATCGTAACCATGTTTTCGTGGCATTAACCAGTGCAGGACATTGCGAATACCAAATGTCTTGTATTGTGGTGCAATATTGAGTTTAGGTGGATTTAGATGGCGTTAGGATGGTAGTCGAACGCAGGCGGGGCCTCTCTATAGCCAACGTTCTGTTTTACACACACGAGGGCGCGCTCTCCCTCCACCCTCTACCTCTCTCTCTTTCTCTCTCTTTCTTACACACACACACACACACACACACACACACACACACACACACACACACACACACACACAACACCACTCACACACGAACCCCACAGTCAAACCATTCTTTATAGCGCATATATTCCTACGACGCAACACGTTTGACAGCTCGTCTTTTCTTTTACGTGGCGACTACAGCAGTAAAAGCGAACCCTATACAGAACAGACCACCTGTTGATAACGGCACACTTTATATTATAAATAATAAAAATCACATAAAAAATCTACACATATCAATTATCAATGAGTATATAATGCGAAGTTGGCGCTCATATAACTTCTTCGTTTCTATAATGACGCTCGATGGTTGCTCAAGTTAAACTGATGCTTCTTCTCACTCACTCATTTGTCCTTTTTTGGGTTAGCTACAGTGTCATTGACACTTCTATTATCCTCATATTATCTACATATTTTTATACCTCTCATGTGTTATTCATGTTTTATACTCTCTTATTCATGTTGTTTTCGCACAGCAGCACAGCGGGCGTGCAGTCTAATTGGGTGTCATGCAGATGACATTAGACCGGCATTTACAGGTATATAGGCCGAAATAGAGTATAGAGAAGCATTTAACGGATCGGCTACATTTACAGTGTTATTACCTATTTTTTTTTATTAGACGTCCCAAGTGCCATGTGGGCGCCATGAATGGCATTTCGCTCTGCAACAAATCAGTACGCGCGCGCAGCATGTCTACGAGTCAAAGTACAGTTTGACGTATTTCCGCTCCAGTGGTAAGTCACAGCCACAGTCAAAACATCTCTATATCAACGCCATATATGTTCTACGACACCACGTTTGCATCCAGTGGTCTTTCTTTTACGTGGCGACTACACCTCTACAGAACAGACACCTGCCTATAACGGACACTTCTACGCGTTTTCCTTTCCCTTACATGAAGGTTTTACAAGCACTGACGCACACGTGACGTCAAACGGCTCTTACAGGACTGCCGCTGTGCGAGGCATTATCTTGAGGTGATCTACACGGCTATAGACATCTTGAGGTAGTGATCTACACAGTATCTATAGACATCTTGAGGTGATCTACACGGCATCTTGAGGTAGTGATCTACACAGTATCTATAGATATCTTGAGGTGATTTACACGGCAACTTGAGGTAGTGATCTACACAGTATCTATAGACATCTTGAGGTGATCTACACGGCATCTTGAGGTAGTGATCTACACAGTATCTATAGACATCTTGAGGTAGTGATCTACACAGTATCTATAGACATTTTGAGGTGATCTACACGGCATATTGAGGTAGTGATTTACACAGTATCTATAGACATCTTGAGGTAGTGATCTACACAGTATCTATAGACATTTTGAGGTGATCTACACGGCATCTTGAGGTAGTGATCTACACAGTATCTATAGACATCTTGAGGTGATCTACACGGCATCTTGAGGTAGTGATCTACACGCGATGCGACGCAGACCGATAGCCTTCATGTTCTGGGGCATGCAGACGCAATGGCCCACCATGGGGCGCCACCTGCTCACCTTAGCTCCCTTCAAGGACTCGATCGGCAAGTCGGCGGCGATTCTGAGCGACAGAGGCGTCGACCTGATGGAGATTGTCACCAGCGCCGACGCGAGCGTGTTCGACGACATCGTGCACATGTCTACGTCGATCACTGCCATGCAGGTACGTGAGCACGCACGCACGCACGCACGCACACACGCACGCACGCACGCACGCACGCACGCACGCACGCACACACATGCACGCACGCACGCACGCACGCACGTACACACGCACGCTCACGCACGCACGCACGCACGCACGCACGCACGCACGCACGCACACACGCACGCACGCACGCATGCAGGTACGAGAGGACGGCGTCGCATATAGTTACGTATAGTCAGCGCTCTTCATCCAGCACACAGGCTGCAGCTATATGTACACCGCCATCCGGCCTCACGTCCGTCAACACACGGTCGCACGCACACACGCACACACACACACCACACACAACACACACAACACACACACACCACACACCAACATACACCCCCCCCCCACACACCACACATACACACACACACAACACACAATATACACACATATCACATCTACTCCACACACAACACACGCACACACACACACACGCACAACGCCACACACACGGACGCACCTTCATTCACACCTAACACGGACGTACGGTACGCACACACAGCACACACACCACACACCGACATAATACACACACACAAACGCAACACACATGCACACCACACACACACAACACACACACACAACACACACGACACTAACACACACACACACGGACGCCCCACGGTACACACACACACACACACATCGCGACGCACGCAGCACACACAGCACGGCACACACACGCACACCACGCACACACACACACACCGCACGCACACACCACACAACACACACACACATCACACACACACACACACACACACATACACAACACACGCACACACACACACACACACACACACACACACAACACACGCGCACGCCACGACCACACACACGCACACACACACACACCCAGCACACACACACACACCGCGCGCACAGCACACACACACGACACACACACATACACTACACACACCAGCAGCACACACACACACACACACACACATCACACACACACGCACACACACACACACATACCGCCAAACTAACTAACC